TCACGTGGAGAGAAATTTTTTATCCCAAACCTACCTTAACTCCAAATCATCATTCAGTCCTCCTTTTCTCATTTTCCTCTACCATCGTGACTGTTTTGAAGTGCGGTATATTGTCTTCATAGCAACTGATGATTTTATGGCCGATCAAGTAGTAGTAGTTTTTGCTGTGGAAAAATACATTTAAGATAGTGGTTTATTGTAAAACACATTTTTTTTCTTAAATTTTAATTTAATAAATATCTTTCATTTCTTTCCATCTTTGCCTTTTTTATAGTCTCTCCTGTCAGATTCCTTTTTTTTTTTTTCAGATTCAGTCACTTGAAGCTTGTGAACCGTTCGAACCAGTCAAACCACTCAATTTTTCCAGTTCGTTGACTGATTGGCTGGTTCTTAACCAGTTTCATTAACTGCATGATTCATTTGCATCAACTGGATCAGTAACTGGTTCACGATTGAATCGATTAAATCCACCGATCTAATTTTTAAAAAACCCTATGAAATATACAACTATTTATAAAGTATATCATCAACTTTTTATCACTAATTTCTCCCTTTATCTCTCATTAAATGTTAGTAAAAGAAAGTACTCTATAAAAATATATATTTAATAAAGGTGAAAGTTAAAAATTTATTAAATTTTTGAACGTAGATGAAGAATTCTAGGATTTTTTTATTTTAATAAACATGTTAAGTACTCCCTTTGTCTCAATTTACGAGACAATTTTAAATAAAAATTATATTACATATTAATAAAAATTATTAAATATACTTTATATTCTTATGTTTAAAAAATATAAATATAAATTTTCAAAAATATTATTCTCTTAATATATCTTATTTGTGAAATATTAAATGGAGAGAAAATATGACAAGGAGGAAACGATAATATTGAAACAAGAATAATTAATGAAAATTTATTTTTGTTAAAATATCTTATATGTTAAGACACCAAATCATTTCCAAAAATATTCTATAATTAGAGATGGGGGGTATTTATAAATATGAGAGAAGGGAATATTTTATGTCTATTTTCTATTTTCAAAGGAGAAACTTAGATAGACTAAGTGCACTATGTCATTTATAATGTTTAATTAAAATACTTCAAGTAATTTAAATAAAATTTTGTTTAACATTTTTTAATTGATTTTATTCTTATAACAAAATATACATTTAATTTTTTACATTTTCTCTTTCTACTATCATTAATATTAAAATTAATTTATATTTAATGACATTTAAATATTATATTTTTATAAATAAATTATTAATAATGTAATACACCTCGATTTTATGAGTATTTTTCATTTCCAGGTGGTCCTAAGCGAAAGGGATGGAAATTAACCCTATCCACTGGGAGACCAAAGCCTGAATTCATGGAGCAAGCTTGTTGTAGAACAAACAAACACTGTTGAATCTAACTTGAGATGTTAGTGTCGCAGGGCGAATCACTATAATCAATCGAAGTTTACACAGTGAAAAGGTTTTATAACCTTTTTAAGGGTAAGTGTGCACGCTCTTGAAGCTTCTCTAATTACTTCCATCATCCATTATATATTAATGTTTTAATTTAGGTCTTGTTCAGTTACTAATAAAAATAGGAATGAAATGTATTGAAAAAAAATTTATAATCATAACTCTTATTTTCATAAATTAAATTATTTTCTCTCTTATGAATGAATACGGTTCACCCATTGTTCTTCACATTTTGATTATATTATTTTATCTTTATTTTTTTTTAATCTATTCTTTTACATTTCTTTCTAGCATCCAAAATAAATAAATATTTCATGTTACGTGGCACATGGTTTCGTGGAGACAATCAATCATATAGTTTTGGACGTACCATTCGGACTAAGAAATGAGGAACTTGTGATATTCTCGTTTAGAAAAGTCATCTTTTGCTTAACAATACAATGGAGCACATCACTACATTGAAACAAGAGTTATATAACAAATTAACTCCTAAATATAAGACTAGGAGTATATTTGGATCCTAAATTTATTTTAATATAATATTTTCCCTCAACATTTCCCAAGTAGTGCAAATGTAGTCTCCTGCCATTAATAAATATTAAATTTGACTATTAATTAATAAAAATATTATAGAAAAAGGACTTGTCAATACTTGGTCCTTTTATATAATTTTAAAGTCCCTATCTATAATTTTTTATCCTTTCCTATAGTTTTTTTAATAGAATTTTGAGGTATTTTTTCATGATATTTTTGCCAACTAATGATCAAAATTAATTTTTATAGAAATGACATTGAATTTTTTCAAAAGTTACAGAAAAAAAAATATTATACCAAAAAATAAATTTAATATACAGGCACTTAAACTGTAATGTAGGAGGTGAATTGTCATTTAATCTTGGAAATAATTCCTATTTTGGATCTAATAATTACTCTCTTTTGGACCTTACTGAAACAACATAACTTCCACTTTGGGCTTCCTCTTGTGAGAAGACAATTGCTTTCTCTCAAACTTTGATTAGTTCAAAATATAAGTCTAGTATAATAATGTTTAGAGTATTTTATATTTTTTAGTTAGCCCTTACATACAAATACAATTAATATTATATTATATAATAAATGCATTATAGTTAATATTGTCTTGAGTCTTGACTTTTCATTCATGCAACTTCATTCAATTATTATTTTGGTTTACATGTGATAGTTAAGCCGAATCTAAATTGTTAGTTGGAGGAATATTTAATTTGTTATCTGTTCAATATTAAAAGAAAGATTACAAATTGGTATTGGTGGCCCGTCAAGAAAAAACCTTCCTCTTTTTTGAAACCTTGTTAGTTGGTAACCAGAAAAAACGGCAAAGATTGTTTTGGCTCGAAATTAAATAGGATTGGACTTGCGATTTAGGTTTCTAGAAGGTAGTGACGCTTAAAAGAATCAGTTTTAATGAGTAATATTTTTTAAAATTTAAATAAAGAATACAAATTAGAAAACTAAAATAAATCCTAGCACAAGCTATACGAATAATAGAATTATTTAAATAACCAATACTTACACCTCATAATTCAAAAATAATAGATGTATTGAACTAGTGAAAGAACAATTAAAATCATTTTCCAGTTCTTTGTGGTTCTTGATACTCATAGTATACCAAAATCACTACACAGCGCTAATGAATCTAAACAAGCCCTACCAATTTAGGCTTGAAATTAGTTATGTACCTTAGCAATCACAACCTTCAAATTATTACGCGATAGAACGAATTACTCAAACCCAGTTTGCAAGAGCAAATACACAAAGAAGAGGAAGAGAGAATGAAGGGGCTATTGTTTTGGAGAATATGCAGAGAGTGGATTGGTTTTCATGCACCCCACTCACATATTCAACTCCCACGAAACAATGGCTTAGTCGTGCATGTAAAACTGTTCCCTCCCAATTTTAAAATGACAGTGAGAATATGACACTTATGGGTAGAGTCAGAAATAAGGGCCGGCTTGGAGAGGCTAACCTTAGAGGTCCTATTTAATAAGGGTTCAGATTTTAAGGGTCGGGCTTAAAAAATGGAGTTCAAAATAAAAAATTGAACTTTAGGGCTCAGGCCCATAGAGTCAGGCCTGCCTGTATTCCCAACTCTACTTATGGGCCCATTTTTATTGTGCATAAAGACTAATTCTTTCCATATTTTGAAGATCCATCAAGGATGGATGACTCATCATATCTGTTATTTTTTCCATTCAAATTTTATATTATTAATTTAATGTGCATAAGGGTTTAAATAAATTGGAAAAAAAATATTAGAGCCACATGGTCGTGGGGCCTGCTTTGAAAAATTATGGCCATATTCAACTTTTTTAACACCCAACCTTTTCAAAGGCCGGCCTTATGAAGACCCTGTTGAATATCACACTACTATGGTTTTTGGCTATATCTCTTTTATGTGATTTTTTACCTGCGCTAAAAAAAGATTAAATATATTAGTAATGAACCCTTATCATGATGTTGGAACATACTAATAAGAAACCAAACCCAATGAGAGGAGTGAGCAACGATATTCATTAAATGAGCGAATGGTTACAAAAAGACTAACGAATACCTGTTAAAAGTTAATGCCTTTCATTGTTTACTGTGCTTTGAAAACTTTATAATCGTTTTTCTAATGCTATATCAAAAATTTACCCACTTGTTCTACATATTAAAAACACGCTTCTCCATATCAAATTAGTACACTTGTAATATTTTAAAGGAAATTAAAAGTACTCCAATTAAACCTGACATTATTTAAGAAATGTCATCATTCTCGGTATGTTCAAAGTCCGAACATTTTGTATGGAAAAAATTTATGTTAGAAGATCTATTTCTAATTAAACCCAAAAATATTGAATCCCATAAAGTTTTACTATAAAAAAACCTGAAATTCATCAATCCTTTGTTATAATTGAACTGCCCATTAATACTAAGAATGAGAAGGACGAGAATGTTAGGATCTCTCTTGGAATTCCTAAAGGTAGGACTTGACGTACTCTCGTGGTCGCTTATAGGACCATAGTCGACCCGACCGTGGGATTCTTACCATGATGGGCCTGATCCAGAGTTGCTAGACTTCCTGGCCCATTTTAACGGCTCAGTGGGCTCAAATAATTATGAGTCCATAAAACTAATAGTGTTTGGATTTATAGGTAGGGATAACATGTTTGTTAACCATACTGAGGGGGAGAACTCAAAATATCTTTACAAATAAAATGACACATATAGCCTTCCCTTCAACATTTTGTTTCTCGTTCCGGGGTGGGCCACGCATTACGTATTGGAGTTTCTCACACGAACTTTATGGAAAATGTAAAGCCTCCTCCTCTTGGAATTATCGCACCCTCCAAATCACTCGCTCTCTTCCCAATTTACAAACCTTTAAAGCGCCTGTCCAATGTCCATTATCCCCACTTGAAAACCGCGTTACTGAACGGAGCATCCGACACGTGCTAGTATTGGGTCCCACCGGCCATCCCTTTCTTCCAGTTTTCATAGCACCCAATTGTTCCCGCTAACCGTCACTCACCAAAAGTTCTCGAGATACACGAAACCTGCAAGCTTCTCCTCTCATCCCGTATTGATGGCATCTCCAACTCGTGTGGCGCACTGCCAGCTGCGGTCGCCGGCACGGACGGTTCACTCGAAAGAGCAGGCAATTCCGGCTCAGATTTCCATTCCGAAACCCAAACCGGCGGAGCCAGAAACTACAAACATCGTTCTCCAGCCCCGGCTGTGTAACCTGAGATCCTACGGCTCTGATCGGCCAGGAAGCGTAATCAGGACTAGGAAGGACGTCGTTGACGGTGCCGATAACGTGTCCCCCTTCTTCGCCACGCTGTCTGAATACATCGAAAGCTCTCAGAAAAGCCACGATTTCGAGATCATCTCTGGTCGCCTGGCTATGGTAATTAATCTCTCTACTTTCTAGTGACTCGCAATATTTTTAAGAATCCACAACGAATCGTGTAACGATTTTCAATGATTAATCATTAATTTTGAAATCATGAATGAGTTAAAAAGAGAATGTGTTTTTCTTTTGGTGGAGATGGTGTTTGCAGGGACTGTGACGATGGAAGTCGTGACGGGGAACTCAGTGTTCAGAAAGATGGACATGGAAGGAATAGTGGAAGCAGGAGGGGTGTGTTTGGGAGCCGTAGCATTTGCGGCCATGTTTGCGTGGTTTTCAAGTGCTCGAAACAGAGTGAGCAAGATGTTCACAATCGGGTGCAACACTTTCATCGATTCTGTGATTGATCAAATCGTGGATAGATTGTTCTACGAAAGTGAGCTTAGTGACTGGTCTGATGAACTGTGATCCTCTACAATTGTTTAGGCGAGAGAGTGCAAGACTTGATTTGATGCGCACTCGACGTAAGCACCCTTTGTGGCTTAGACGTTATAGTATAGTAATAGTATTGTTGTTGTTATTGTTCATATTTGCTGTTAATGTAGCAAAGGCAAATATGCTAGCCAGCTCATACGGAGAGGATCAGAATTATATAAAGAGAATGACACATAGGTTCAAGGGTAAATTAATTTAAATTAAGTTTTACATGTTAAATTTTAACATTTGTAATTTTGGTTTTTAATTTTACAATTTTTTGTGAAAAATTTATAATTTATGTTTTAAATTTTAACAGAAAAATTAACTTTATTTATTTTTTTATTATATTAAATTAAAATGTGAAAAATAAATTGTAAATCCATCATAATATAATTGTAAAATTAAAAGTGAAATGTGTAAATTTTTAAAATTTAACACTTAAAATTTAATTTAAATTAATTAATTCTGTATAACCGACCTATCATTCTCCCAGTTATATTCTACTTATTTGCAATATTTAAAATCCAAACTGTTGGTGAATCGGAAAATATCAGCGGGTGGAAGAATATGATAATTAAGTAAAAAATATTATATTTAGAAAAAGTCATAGAAAAGTGAAATAAATACAAATATGTTGAGAGTGGGATTTGAACCCACGCCCTTTCGGACCAGAACCTTAATCTGGCGCCTTAGACCAACTCGGCCATCTCAACTTTGGCGCTTCAAATTTTCTGACGAAGTTATAAACTATAACACTTGGCTCCAATTCCGAATCCATAACTGCACTTACAGGCCCAAAAGGTCCGAAATATAATGGGCGTACTGGCATGTTTTGCCCCATTCACTTGCAACCCAAGGAGAGGGTTAGTTAGAATTGTTTACGTGATTGGAATTACGAAAATTTAGATGAAATCAAATATAATGCAAGGGAGGTATTTTCCGAATGACATTGAACGATAGATAAAGGTCCTACCATCAAACAGTAGAATGTGTCGTTGCAAAATAGTAACTTCAAAGAATGTGTTCAAATCACACTTGTATTTATGTGGCAAAAAGAAGAGAAACATGCTTATACTTTTGGAATCAACTTGATTAATTAATTTATTTTATTTTTTAGGAAAAATAATTTTTTTTACTACACTTTACTCAAGTTTTATTATAAATTTTTATATTTTTTTTTAATATTTTAGGTTCATATACCTTTTTTCCATATTTATTGTTGGTCCTTATAATTTCGTAATGATATTGACATTGCATAAACAGTGCTAAAATTGCAAACATGTTTATTAACACCATTAAATTTGTACTTACATGTTAATCTGGCGTTGATATAGATTTTTAATTAGCAAAAATAAAAATCCTCAATTAGATGAAATTAAAAAGGCTGGCTCGGACATAAATAAGAGGGTCAAACGAGTATACGAACGAGTTTAATGTTGAAGTCTTGCCTCGTTCGACCACTGTCAGATGATTGTTCACTGGCACTAACTATTCCACCACCATCAAACACTCTTTTCTAGTGTCCTCGAACACTTTTTGACAACGTAGTTGTGGGGTCTCTACGTCCCATTCGATTTTCTCGTGCCTTAGGAAACAAGAGGGTGTAGGTCAAGTTTTCTTTATTTGGGCATCTTGTGCCTTCAAGAGAGTCCAGGTCAGCATTTTTAATTTGATCTGATGAAGGCTTTTATTTATTTTTGCTGATTAAAAAATCCACATCTAACACCAAATTAAAACATAAACACAAATTTAACAGTGATAGTAAACACAATAGCAATTTTATCACTGGTTGTACCATATCAATGTCTTACCACCGTTTGTACTATTTCAATGTCTTTTTCAAACTATGGAGATTAACATTGCAAACGGCAAAAAATATAAAGACTTAAAACAACAGCAACAAAAATACACAAAAATGTATAATAAAATTTGAGTAAAGTGAAGAATTTAAAAAAGTGTTTCTCCTAATTTTTTTAAATTAAACTTTGAAATTTTTCAAACTCAAGATCTGTGAGTTGAGTTGCTCCAGTACCCTTGGAAAAATCCCCAAAATGAATTTAAATGCGAGCTCTGCAAGACGAGATTCAATTCTCCATTGGAATCTTAGGATCTAGGCATGATTATGCTCATAATTAGTGCCATAAAAGATTTAGACCAAACTCAAATCTCTAAAAGTGAAGAGAGATTCATAATTGCAAAAAAGAAAGGAAGTGGAAGAAGACAAAAGTACAATCTACTTAGGAAATTGAGTTAAAACTGATTAATGCTTAATCTAAACAAAAAACTTAAACTCATCGGACTAGAGAAACGTGGAACAAAAAAAGCGATGGAGACAGCTCTTGGCACAATTATTAATTAAGAGATAAATCCTCATAACTTTTACTCCCTCCTATCCAAATTTAAATTGTAAGATATTTTTTTTCGTTTAAACTGATTGAAAATGTAGGACATAATTTTTGAAATTATTTTATAAAATTTATCATTGTATTAGTATGTCGATGAAAAATACAATTTAAATAAACACTTCTTCTTACTCTTAATGATAAAAGGTCTTCGTAATGAAGGATTTAAGAACTGAAAAAAGACGTCATTTTTATAGAAATGAACAACCATTTTTATTTATTGGTTTGTGAAATATATTGAGCAATCTGGTATAATTTTGGACAGAGAGAGTAAATAATTAAATGGTACTCCCTCTAGTCCTTATTATATATATCACCTATTATAAATTCACATAAATCAAGAAAACTTAGTTAACTTATTGAAATTTCCTAAAAAATTGTTTGATTTTCTATTCTTGCCTTTAAATATCACAAACTTTTAAAAAATAAACATTCTTTATCACCTCATGAAAATTGAGAAAAATGACGTATTTAAAATAGAGTAATTAATTATACACAAATTCTTGTAAAGTCACTTTTTTTTTGGGTAAAACTTGTGAAGTGACTTTTTAACTTACTTTTAAGAGCACAAATTCTTTCAAAATGCCACTTATATATATAATTCAACCAAGCATATGATAAAATTTAGGTTCCTCCCCCCCCCCAATCTCTCTCATCAACCCTCCCTCGTCCATCCAGGTTCCATTTTCTTTTTATGTATTGATGGCTACAAAAAACCATGCATGGAGACCAAAAAAAAAAATTAAGTCACAGGAAAAATTAACAAGCTTTTACTCCCTAAAGATAAAGAGTCAAAAATAGTGATAATGTGAGAGTGATGAAATGTTTGATGAGCTATTTAATCTGTACATCTATTAACATATCAAAAGTACTTAAAATAGTTAATTTAGACGTTGACTTTGTGAATTTTAATATTCCAACAAAGGATTAGGTCATCAAGGATATCTATGAGTTACTTCGTTCATTTTTATTTATAAGATAAACTATTACTTTTTATTTATTCTTTTATATAAGTAAAATCACATGTTTCAATGAGCATTTATGTTGATTAACATGTGACATTTTTAAAATCATCCTTCATAATTTATATTAACGAGAAATAATTAATGCATATTTATGTTGATTAACATGTGGCATTTTAGTTTAATTTTTTATTTTTAAGCATAATTATTATGGTTAACCACCTTTCTTAAATTGTGTGATATAGTTTTTTTTTATACATAGAAACAGAGGGAGTATGCTTCTATGTAAGGATAATAACCAAAAATATTTAGAAAAGCTTTTTATTCAATTTCCTTTACCGCCATAAAGGATACCTCCTCAAGTTGTAACACTATATATTCCTTTCAAATTACTCCATCTATTCTTATATATAAAATATTTTTAATTAAATCACGCAAGCTAATAAAAGTTAGTTATCTAATTAAAAAAATAATATTTTAATTTTTTTTCATAATTATTGTAAATAAAAAATGAATATCCTTTTTAAAATAAATTAATGAGAATACTTATCTTTTCATCTTTTTAATTTAATAAGGGTATAATAGTCCATTCTTTAAAAAATATTCTAACAACATTTTATATTTAAAGATAAATAAATTTTAAAAGACCTCTTATATATAGGAATGAAGGGAATATAATATAAGTCATTCACTATTAAAAAAATGTAAATTAATGAAAAATCATCTATTCCTCTTTAAAATACTAAATTAGTGAGGAAAGTGGCAAGGGATATTGATTTCATAGCTTAACTATAAATTAATAAGAAAAATAACAAGAAACTATCAATCTCTCTCTAAAATAAGAGAATTAGTGAGAAAAATAGCAAAAACTGTCAATCCCTCTCTAAAATAAGATAATAGTTAGGAAAATAGTAAGGGGCTACTAATCCCTCTCTAACATAAGAAAATTAACGAGAAAAATAGTGAGAAACTATCAATCTCTTTCCAAAATAAGATAATTAGTGAGAGACTTTTAATCACTCTCCAAAACATGATAATTAGCGAGAGATTCTATCCCTAGGTAATTACTACAAAAAAAAAACTTTCGACAATGACTTTTAATTATATATTTAATTATTTTTATTTAAAAATAAAAATTAAATTTAAAATTTAAGTAAAATATTCATAATAAAATTATTTAATATTTTCTTTATTTTAAGTTAATTTTTATTAATAAAATAATATTGTATAAAAAATATAATGCAAAGAATAATTTAAATAAAATATAAATATTTTTAACATAGTAATAATTAAAAATAAAATTTAATATGTATATATGTGTGTATTTTTATAATATATTATTTGATATATTTATGTAGTTAAATAATATATATTTAATTTTTCATGTAATAACTGTTGGTGACTTTAAGTTTAATTAGCAAAGAAAGAGAGAATATGAGATAAGGGATTCAAGTCTTGAGTTTGAAATAAACATAATGAATATAAAACATAGTAAGGAGCAAGTGACATGGTGCAAGATAAACGATAACATATTATGAATTGTCGCAAAAGTGACATGGTGGGTGATGAGGCACGAGATAGTGGGTGACATGGTGATTGATAAAGGACGAGATTATTGGTGACATGTTATAAGTTTACACACACATAGTGGGTGATGTGACATCACTATTTTTAAACAAAGGCATATTTAGCGAGAAATTAATGAAAGACTGATCCCTCACTGAATTATCAAATTTTAAATAGTATTAGCAAGAAATTTATCGAGAGATTGAATTCTTTACTAATTAGCGATGAAAATACAATACCTTGCTAAATTTAGTGAGCCTCTTTTTAGCTACGAATTTAGCAAGGGATAAAATCTCTCACTAAAATG